CACACCCAGCTAATTTTTTTGTATTTTTAGTAGAGACAGGGTTTCACCGTATTAGCCAGGATGGTCTCGCTTTCCTGACCTCATGATCCACCTGCCTCAGCCTCCCAAAGTGCTGGGATTACAGGTGTGAGCCACCACGCCCAGCCCATTGCATTTGTTTTTTAACATCTTTACTGAGATGTAACTCACATATCATACAATTCATTCATTTAAAGTGTACAATTTAATGCTTTTTAGTATATTTACAGAGCTGTCCAATCATCACCACAATTAACTTTAGAACATTTTTATCACTTCCAAAAGAAACCCCATCCCCATTAGCAGACACTCCCATTCTCCTGAACTCCCACCCCTAAGCAACCACTAAGTTGTTTTGTCTTTATGGATTTGTCTACTCTGGACATTTTATACAAATGGAATTGTACAATATGTGGTCCTTTGTGACTGGTTTCTTTCACTTAGTATATTTTCAAGATTTATGTACATTGTAGTATATATTAGTACTTCATTCCTTCTTATTGCCAAATATGTCATTGTATAAATATACTACATTTTATTTATTATTAATCAGATAATGGACTTATAGGTTCACCACTTTCTACTTTTTGGCTATTATGAATGGTGCTGCTATGAATATTCATGTACAAGTTTTTGTGAAGGTACATTTTTGTTTATCTCCTTGGGTGTATACCTAGGAGTGGAGTTGCCAATTAGTTCCATTTGACTTTACCTAATTTTCTTGGCTAACAGTCCTATATTGTGCTTGTGTGTGTGTGTATCTATATATACATATATATACACATATGGCAGAAAGACACAGAGACAGAAAAGAAAAAGAGAGGCTGTACTTGTTTGCATGTCTTATCTGAAATTTCTGCATGCATAGCAGATTCAATAACCATAGAGTTGAAAAGATGGCATCAAAATCATTGGCTCAAAATATCCTACAAAGGGAAAACTTTCTGGAAAAAATGTCTAACCTGAGTTGAGCTGGTTTTTTTTTTAAAGAGCTGGAGAGGAGAAGAGAGAAGATAGTGCTGCAGTAGGGGCCACAGCACAAGTAAAGGCCTGGTGATTGGGCTGGATATAGAGTACTTGGGGATATAAGTAAAAGTTAGTAGATGAGGCTGGAATGATTTGTTAGGAATCACCTCATCAAGGTCTTTGAATGGCAGCCTCAAGGGTTTAAAAACTACATTTTTAGGCCGGGCGCTGTGGCTCACGCCTGTAATCCCAGCACTTTGGGAGGCCGAGGCGGGCGGATCACAAGGTCAGGAGATTGAGACAATCCTGGCTAACACGGTGAAAAACCCCGTCTCTACTAAAAGTATAAAAAATTAGCCGGGCGCGGTGGCGGGCGCCTGCAGTCCCAGCTACTCGGGAGGCTGAGGCAGGAGAATGACGTGAACCCGGGAGGCGGAGCTTGCAGTGAGCCGAGATCGCGCCACTGCACTCCAACCTGGGCGACAGAGGGAGACTCCGCCTCAAAAAAAAAAAACAAAAAAAAAAACTACATTTTTATAGCTTTAGGGGAGCCATTGGAGACTATGGTTTAAATACGTCAATCACATGATCACATCAGATGGGCATGATTACAGCAATGACTGGCAGGTGCAGGCAGGATGTACCTAAATGGGGAGACACGAAGCAAGCCCTCCTCCTTAGGAGTCTATTGCAGCAATTCAGGACTGAGGTAAAGGCTCTGAGCATAGCCAGCTGGAATTCAGTAGCTTAAATATTGATTTAGTGGGCAAAAGCCGCATTCATCACGGGGCTGGTTCCCTAAAAACCCCGTGCGTATGTGCAGGGAACTCATCATTTCCCTATTACATAAATTGATTAGGTCATTCGGAGCCGAGATTGATGCCAAAGATTTGCTGCTAATCAAGCTAGAATAGCAAGTTGGAGGACAAGACAGGCCTTCTGCCAACTGGGCAAGGAACTGGTCCCAGAAGCAGAGAACACTGCAGCGAAGTACCCTGTGTTTGCTTGGGGAGTCTGAGCAAAGATAGCCTCTGAGAGGCCTGGCAATGCCCTTCAGTTACATCTGGAGTCTCCAGGGCAACTCCTAGAATGACACTTCTCAGGGCTTCTGTCAAGAGCTGACCAGCCAAGTGGAATCCAGCCCCAAAGGTCCATGACAGGGCTGTCCTCACTGTGTGCTGAAGCTGTAAGAGTGGAGGTACTGGGGGAACAGGGCCTAGGGCAGCATCTGTGGAGAGTCCAGGGGAGCCAAAGCCTTGGAGAAAGAGTTTACTGTTTTGGCAATAATAACAATAGTCTGCAATAACAAAAATTTGTGTTTGTATACACCTTCTACAGTGCTCCAGAAAAAAGGGAGGTTCAGCTTTCTTGGTGGATAAGATACTCTCCCTCTCACACAAAGACACCCTAGCCCCATTCTAAGGAGAGCCCTGCAAAACTAGCCACATGCCATCCAGTGCCAGGAAGCCTGGTTCTGACATGGTGGTGGTGGAGTTTCTACCCATCTGTCCCGAACACAGAGGGAAGTGTACCTGGCTCCATCTATAAACTGAGGCAGCATATCTGAGAAGAACCAAATCTCCAGAGCACCCTGGTTTGGGACAATCAACATCCCAAGTCAGATGTCTTTCAGCTTTCACAGCTCTCCTGTCTGCAGCCCACTTCTCATTCTGCGACCGGCCCTAGTTTCGAAGGCGTGAAATGCTCAGTGAGTAGTGGAGGGAACACTTTTAGTACTATGACCCGTAATTGACGCTGCTGCCACCTCTTTTGGTTGACCTTAGCCCCTAACTGGAAATGGGTGGGGGGGCAGGGGGCAGGGATCTACTTTTTGCCACCGCTCACCCACCTGGGATATCTAAGTATAGTCATCATTATTATTATTATTTGCTGCCATCACATCATCACCAGGGTCTTGCTTCCCGCAGTCCATAGTAAGGGGGAGGACAGGGAAGGAACCGGCTGCCCGAAGAGGATGATTTTCCGCTTGTACTGAGGGTGTTCCTCGCCAGAACTTTTGTGGCACCGGCAAAGCCGGCTTGTGTCCAGCAGAGAAGCACCCGCAGCCGCGCGGGGCATCCGTCGTCTTTTTCTGCCGCGGTGGGGCATAGGAGGGCAACCATTTGCCCGGGGCGTTCCATAGCACACCGTTCCCCGCGCCGGCCTCAGAGGAGCTGCTAGTGAGCTTCCCCTACACCTCCTCTATTCCTCTACTCTCTGCCGCAGCCAGGGTCTTATTCCCCGCCCCGGGCTAGAGGGGTCGGTGAGCTGGGGTGGCGAAAGGAGCCCAGCAGTCCGCCGGGCCTGGGCTCTTTTTCCCGGTGGCACCTTGGTCCCCCACCCGCGCTTGACTCCTCCCCCGTCTCTATTCCGCAGCGTCCCCGCCCTGTCAGCAGCCTGCTTCAGCGACCGCACCTGTCTCGGGTGGTGGGTGGGGGGGTACACGCAGGAGGTAAAAAGGAAAACAGGGAGGGTTTGGGGTGCACAGCGCAGCGGGGTGAGCAGCCTTGCCCGCGCCTCGGACCCCTGCAGCCCTAGCGGCTCCCGCCCGCGGTTGCGGCACCGATGCGCTGTCCGCGGTGCTGACGCCGGCCGCCGCTCGGTCGGGAGGGGGAGCAAAAGCCCTCGTTCCCGGGTCGCCCGGAGCCCAGCGACCGCCTCTCCCCAATTCCCCATTTTCAATGGAACCCGCTGCGTCCTGGCGCTGCGGTTCGATCCAGGGCAAAGGAGTGAACGAAGGTAACTTAAACTTCGGACTAACGCCTGAGAACCCAGTGTCGGCGATTCGCGTCGCGCAGCCTCCAGCCCTGGAGACCTCAGAGCACCACCAAGTTGAGCAAAGTTTCACCGCGGCATGAGATAAGGGAGGGATTCCAGAGGCGAAGCGCAGAGAGGAGCAAGACGAGGTTCCCCGGCGAGGTGGTAGCTCGCACCGCAGTCGGACACCTGCTCCGGTGCCCCGCATTAGTGCCGCCGGAGCCACCGGGAGGCGTCGCGGCAGCCCAACTCTCCACCCCCTCCCTCCTGTCCCTACTCACCCCTCCCCAACACCCCGCCCCGGGCGCCAGTGACTCCGCCTCTCCCTGCCGGGCGGCTCTTCGGCTGGAGCTGAGAAAGGAGCGCTTTCCCGGACTCGGCTCGGCTCCGAGGCTCCGAAGCCGACGCC